AGTGCAAGGACCTTATTATGTAGTTAATTTCATGAAAGCATTGATTATTTTACAAACAAGCAATATTGCCTAGCGATATATTGGTTAGACAGTTCAACATTTAATCACTCTTTAAGTAACATATAATAGTCATTTCATTTAAAATACTTGATAATTTCACAAACAAACAATATTTTCGAGTGATATATTGGTCAGACGGTGCAATATCTAATCACTCTTTAAGTTATATATGTCACACAATTGCAATGACTGAACTTAAATGCGTTGCTTACTGAGTGCCAAATATGCCATGATGAATTATATTGTCATATATCATGATAAAGTAAGTGTCATTTACCACAATATCACAATAAGCCATATTTAACCCAGCAATAAACACAAGCATATCAATACAAATGTTTTGTTGCTTCTCATTTCAATTTGATTATGTTTAAATTTGATTATTTTTTAGCAGTTGCCATGGAACACTTCAATTTTGGCTTCATTTTTTTTTAAAAATATACATGAACAAAAGAAATAATTTCTATATGCATCCACTGAATCGGAAAATTACTTAGTTTTCTTCTCATGCATTCGTATCCTTGAATTCAATACTGTTATTCAACTTTTTTTTAAACGAAAATGTAACAGTATATCATACATAAAAGAGGGTTTATATTACTTTTTGCTGAAATGTTCAATTGTTTACTTAATCTCATTCTCATTTTCAGTTACGAAGGTTAAAAATTATCTAAATATGCTATTTAAAAGCATGTATGATATCATACAAATAACAAGTGCTAGATATTTTGGTTTTTATTCAAATATATGAATAATCAAATGAATGAAAAGTCAAAATAAATAATGCTTATTTATTTGTAAAGTGCACTTCATCCATTTTAAGGATTGGTTCAGAAGGTAGTGTTAAATTTATTACCAAAAATTTTAGTCATAAAAGAAAAACGAACAATACTGTTTTATAGAAATACCAATTGATTCTACGTGCACTACGTGATGTTAAAATATGCTTAAAGTATGTCTGAATTAACCAAGAGTGTAAAAATATACTATTCTTGTGAAAGTACCGCCTTCAAGGAGAAGGAAGGAAAAAGTTCTACATCTATGAAAAATAAGTGTGAACTCATTAAGTTTTTTTTACAATTTTAACTGTAAATATTGGAAAGGGCAAACACAATTTGACATTATTTGACAAGATTTATGAAATTTCGTTTATTCTTTTGTTGTCATTGTTTTTATATGGACTCAAGCACGAATTCTCTTACAATAGGTTGCATTATCTTGGTATAATATTTCAGAAGACCATCAATAAGTGACAATTAGTGACAAATTCTTGATAGTTAATGTTAAATTCTTCTTAAGCCGGTGCTGGGGTGAATCAACGTTAGCTTGCATTTACCATTACTATCCATGAACAGGCTCAAAAAAGCCGAGCCTTCTACAGTTTTTGGCTTAGCAAGAAAACTATTAGTTTCATTAATGCAGACTTAACAAACACGAACCTACACTTAATATCGTTAGCCTTATTAATTGTTCAATGATAAAGAAAAGCTTTCAGACTTCTTTCTATCATTATGTCATTCTACATAATATAGTGAGAGAATTAAATAATTGCTTTTGCGTGAGAAATTCGTAACTGTTTGATTCTTTACAATTCTATATACTAGTAGCTTTGTTACATATTGTCTGACTTTATTAATGTATTTGTCACTCCAATTGGTATGTTGAACAACATTCTTACGTCGTTTAATTTATGCTATCTAAAGTAGTCATACATTTCACGTAAACCCCATGCCAAGATTAAAAACAGTGTCAAAACGTGAACGTGAACATGCACCATTTACAATATCACATTTAACAGTCTCATGTCGGTCCATTTAGAATGTCAGTTCGTAGTACAATATATGCATGTATATTGTTGACGAGTGTTTTAAATATGCGTGAATGTGTGGTTTACTTTTGTATTAATTCCAGTTGGTTTTTTTTGTATTTTTGTATTTTTTGTTTGTTTGTTTTTGTTTTGTTTAGTCTATTATGTTTATAGTATTTTACCTATTTAGGACATATTTCAGAAGACCATCAATATGTGAAAATTAGTGACAGCATCCTTCAAAACTGATTTTATCTTACACAAAGATATACTGACGAGGCACAAAATAAAACTATTTTGTAAAAAATAAATTATTTTGAGAGTGAAGTATCAAATAACCGTTACATTGTTTTGAGAGAACAAAACGTACGACATTCTTCATTCAAAGACGTTAAGATAATATTTCAAGTTTTTGACAATGTTTCAAGTTTGTTTGACTAAAAAATCAGATACAACAAGGCTCAAATCTCTTTTGTAAGTTATTGTTATATTGTTTATATGAAACTGTGGTATTTTGTTTACAGTATAACCTTAACCCTGTTGTGGCGACTGATTTTGCCATTGCAACGAGTGCAGTCCAAGATCAGCCAGTACATCTGTGCAATGTGATTATGGTCTGCACTGTCCGCTTTTTAGTCAGGACTTATTTTAAAATTTACCTTAAAATTTATGAGTGGTTTTGTCCAAATTGAAATATGAACAAGTCAGTTTAAGATATTGTGTTATGGTTTAACGCTGAAAGTGTCTGTCAAGTAGTTTTGCTAATAATACATGTACTTCTATTTTTGTAGTTGGTAATGTTTAAAATTATGGAAAAGAACTATGGACTCATAAAGTTTCAACAATTTTTGCACTATCATCTGCATATTTTATGCTAGTGTTTATTTCAATTTGTGTGAGTTTTCAGTAAGTTATTTTTAGAAAGACAATCATAATAATATGCAAACCAGTTAAATTATCTTACATGAATTTCTTTTGATTATCCAATAATGTTTTTTTACAATGTAGTGTTTGTTCTATTTTGGATTGTTTTTAAGAAGTTCGGTGCTAACAATCCCCATGGCAAGTTAAGTCACGTGTTATTTGTATTTTATAGAGCTTGATATGACAACATATGAGAGCTTTTAAACTAAAGCACATCACTTGATAACAACATATAAAAGCATTCATCAGCACATACAAATAAATTTAAAGCAAGACATTGAACTAACCCAAAATTATGGCGATTATGGTCCATGAAGCATATAAATATAAAAGTACATAAGAAAGAAAAGTACCAATACATGTACTTATTAAATGCACATATTATGCTTCAAAAATTATTTTTTGTTTTTCCTTTTTCAAAGAGGCAAATGTGTGTTAAGTGATACTTTGAGAATGCATTAAAGCTTTAAGATGATTATCAACATAAATAAGCAGACCTTAATGCGAAATAAATTGCCATAAATGTAGCAAAACGTATACAAAGTGGTATCTTGACTTAATACAAAATATTGAATCACTATAATTGTATTATTTGCCAAAAAAAAATTAAAGAAGCAAATTGCTAATGAGTACTTTTTCTGATGTTGTAACAGGACAACCAAAAATAAAAAGAAAATGTTCCAAGGATGACAATTTTTCGCATTTTTAATTCTTTTTTATATATTTCTATTTATTTTCTTATTTTTTATCATTTTTTTTTTCAGGGGGTGTATTTTTTCAAATTATTATCCATTTTTTTTTTAATTAAATAGAAGACATAACCTAAAGAACTTTCATACTGGTAATTGCACCCCCATGTGCTAAATTCGAAAAGAAGTAAACTATGTGGAAAATGACTTTCTGTTAAAACAAAAAAGGTGAGCACTCACATTTTATAATTCATCACTTGGCCATTGAGACCTCATGTCGTACAATGAACTAGTTCAGTCCATCAACCAGGTACAATTATACACTCAATTAAGTGTTTCGAATTATACATGTATTTTGTCCAAACGGATTGCAAAATTTCAACTGAATAGTAACACATTAACTTTGGAAAATTAATAAGTAAAGTCAATTTCGTAAATTTCAGATGCGCCGCTTTTAGCCAATTTTAATTTGTAAATTCTTTCTTATAAACAGTTCAATAAGCTATTCTTACCACTTACTGACATTTTAAAATCAACCCAATTGTGACCTGACAATGTTTATTTGGCGTTCTGCCAAACAGACATTATCACCAAAATAATTAATAACATCATAATATGAAGAGGAGAACGTGAAAACGAAACTAGTTTTTTTTTTCTTTTTTTCTTAAAACATTGACAGAAGATTGAACAAAATATAAGTGCATTGCACAAGAAGTAATCTAAATATGGCACACTTGCATATGTGTAAGTTTAACCTTTACTTTTGCGTCAAATTTCATCAGAATTGCAAAGATTGCAAAATTGTATCACATGATGTATATTATGAAAACACATGCAAACAATAGTTAAAAAAATACTAAAACAAAAAAAAAAAAAAAACATTTTCTAAACATTCTTTGTAACAGAATATTTTAAATTATTACCATAGGTCATTTTATTTCTTTTTGACAGAATAACCATTTCCATATCATTTGTTTTTAGGAAATTTTCTGCTGGTAACAAAAAGCAGACGATTAAACATATTTTTATCGTTGATGATTGAATACTGCTTTAATATTTGAAAATCTTTCATGAACAGACTCTAAAATTTAAATTTTTATTTATTTCTTTTCTTTTTTCATTCAACTCTTTAATTACAACTTTCTCAATTTCATATTTGCTAATACTATTTTTTATGTCAAATTTCAAAGTCTCGAATATAATTTATGCATGCAATTAAAAGAATTACAAGCATGTCATTATGGGTGCGTTTTATAACAATATATAGCATTATAAAAGATACATAATTCAGCATATATTTATGGTTAGAAAAAAGTATACTTTTAGCGATCAATACATTATAATGTAGACGTGCAGCAGACGAACGTAGCCCGCTTTCGTCTTAAGATAAATGTCAATTTTATATACACGAAGGTGTAGCTAGATATAAGTTAAACTTTTAAAGTAGATTTTACTTCATCAAATCAATACTGCGTGTATCTTAAAAATTGAGTTAACCAGATGAAAATCATTTAACTTACCTAATTTGACAAAATATGTCTAAATCCAAACATTGTTCATTATAACGCAACTGGTTAAATCGCTTGTTTGTAGCTGCGGCAACTTTTCGCCGGACCGTCAATCCTTAAAAGTTCTTTCCACGAATTCACGGGTGAATAAACATGACGAACTATTTTCGTATGTTCTATTTTAAGTAACAAATCATGCAAACTTGCAAATAAACTATATCAGTACATTCATTGAAAATTGCGCTTGATGTTGTACATTCATACATATACTGTATATATGTTTGTAAATAGTATTATTTAATATTATAAAGCATTGTGTATGAACCAAAATAGTGATTAGAATGCATTATCTTGTCGTAATGATTATGCTTTTCGGCTTAACCTATGTACACTAAACATGTAAATAAAAAGAAATTTGATGTTGGAAGTTGTTGACTTAAGTCTATTCCAATATATAGAGGTAAAGTTGGACTAATTCAAGTTAATCAATAGATATAAAAGTTAACAGGGCATAATTATATACTTATTATTATGGGTGAAGAAACCGAAAGTACATAATGCAATAATTCGGAGTTGGTTATAAGTGTACATCAGTGGGCATTTTTAGATTGATTATGATTGTCAGACATACATGTATTTTCGATCAAAATTTTACAGAAAGATGACTTTATGTCATTCGTTATACATTAATCAAAGATACACTCTTTCTTCATGTTTACATGTAAAACCACGTACGATGAAGAACTACTTTCAGTCCGTTTATTATAAATAATAGCCGAGATGTTCCGATTGCATAAACGTAACACTAGCTTGGTTTCCGACATACACAATGTGGTTTCCGATATATAGTGACTGAAGTATTCATTTAATATCAGCATCATCATTATTAACATCAATATTATTATCATCATCAGTATCGTTGTTGTCATCGTCGTGATCGATTGGTGTTGTTCATGTCTTTGGTGCTGGTCGCTATCATAATCATCGTCATCATTATTATCACTATCGATATTTTTGCGTTCAACTAAAAGAAAATATAACATATTTAATAATTAAAACTGCCCAGCATTAATTAACAATTCAGGGAATTGTGATAGGAGGGATTGAACCATATCTGTACTATTCGCTTCTCCAACCCCTCCTTAACGGTGGCTTATTCATATTTTTGTGATCTGCTTAAATGGGAGCCCTCGACTCTTTTGTTGTAAATTAAGCCTTTAATAATTCCTTGCTAGGAGCTTGTTGTCTAAATTTGGACAAAGTAACATTAATCTGTTGAACAAAGTAACATTAATCTGGGATGCCAAATTAGACTTAATAAACGCCATATTAGGAATTATACGATTCCTCTTAAAAGTTATCTTTTATCTAATTATGACTTTCTTATTAGGATATTATCAATTTCTAATTTGGGTAAAAATGCATTTTAGGAGTATATAACATTGAGTCATGGGTTGAAATAAAAGAATTATCAGTAATTTCTAATAAGAAAAAATAGTTTTTTTTAAATTTCGAATAAGTTCAACTTTGACTTTGGAGTAATCAAAACCGGGTCAAGGTCCTGGGTGCCGTTTTATCTACAAATACGATCGTAACTGAGATCTTACCTTACAACAGATACTTACGAGCCTGCGATTTTCACATAACCCTTTTATAAACACGCTACGAATCTTAGCTACGACCGGTCGTACGACCGTTGATAAAACGGCACCCAGCTCTGCAAGTCGAAAACAACCCACGAAACTGAAATATCACAACTACCGGAAAGAACGTAAAACAAAACAAACAAAAAAACGCCTCGTTTTATTGCCTGTGTGTTTCGTCAATATTAATTTAAATGTGGCCGATGTAACAAAATATGATTAATATGATTAAAATTGCTGTCCTGTATTCAATACGAAGTTTATGGAAATTCAGTGAAACTATAGGGATTCATTAGATCCAAAACTGGGACGGGGACGGCTAAACAGCATGCCCCTAACCTTGTTATATGTTGTTGTGATTTAATCAAAGGTGCGTGAACACTGGGGTGTATTTTGTAGGATAATAAATCTTGTATGCCGTTTTGAGACGATCGTATAATATCATAAAGAAAAGAAAGTTAATGCGGGTGCAATTCTCCTTTTAAGGGCAATTTAAAGCTAAAAAGTTATGTGCTTTTAGCTGATTGTAAATATAAAAAGGGAACATAGAATAGAAAACAAACAAAATAACAGCAAACAAATGTAAACGTACGATTCTTGTACATTTTTATATTCTATCCAATTTGACTCATGAACAAATTTCCTTTGGTTCAAAGTGTTTGAAGTTATACTTTTGCACGACTGTTTTAAGAAGGTAAAAAAAACCAGAAAGTTACACGAGCCTAGCTAAAGGGTCCTTTATAAAAAAAAAATCTGAGACGATTGTACCCTTTATCTGACGGAATGAAAATAATTCCTCACCCGAGCCTAGTCCTTTGTAATATTTTTCTAGGACGATTTTACCCTTTATGAAAAAAATTGGTTCAGCCACCAGGGCAGATCGAGTCAGTGCACCCAACACATCCGTGCATCTATACTGATGGTGTACATACATGTAGCTAATTTATTTGTATTTTTATTTTGAAAACCCTTTAGCTTTTGTTGGACTGTTCTTAATTCAAAAGTGCAGCAATTCAGTAATTTGAAAACAGAATAATTTAAAATGACAACAAACGTGGGACTTTTTAAATCATATTTAGATTTATTAAACGTGTATATATAATACAGCAAAAAAAAACGCCGAAAAGGACAAAATTACCGTCTTACCATGGCCACCCATTTATGGTATCCATTCTTGATTTCAATATCAAATTTCTTTTGGTTACACCTACAATTGTTTTGCTAAATATTAAAGCGATATGTGATATAACTACAAAAATATCAACTTATATAACATATCAAGCTCATAATTCTATATACAACCAAGATATGCTTTGTTAAAAAGGATATGTTGCTAGTATGTGAGGGCTAAACATCCATATGTAGAAGTTTTTTTTCTTAAATTTGAACAGATTTAAAATTTTGGATTATTTGGTTAAAATGGTTTTTTTTGTCTATGTACATGTATTTCGAAATAAAAAAAATGAAAAAAAACTGCTATACTACCCTCTGAATTGCTTCGATAGATGTCCATTGACGTCTTAAACTTTTCAGTTCATGCATGTAGTCACACATTTTTGTTGAGTTTTATAGTACATGTAATTTCAGGACGAAGAAGGTAATGTCCCAACAGGCTCTTAATAAGTAACAATCAATCCAGTAATCTTGGTTCCTGATGTTGTAAAATATATACTACAAACCTTTATTTTGGACAATTAGCAACGTCAAGGGTACTTCAACAAAATTTTATTTAGTTATCCAATATGTAGATATGTGTTCCAGATCCAACATAAAAATACAATGAAATGTGTTTGGACTATAAGTAGTCAAGACTACAGCTTAATTGATACAATCTTATATGACGAAAAAATCACAGATGACTCTGTCATATGGGCCCACGCAACCTAGCACACTTTCCTCGTCGTCTCTGTCTACTATGTAGGGCCACTCCCTATCGGCATTAGTCAGGACACTGACAGCTTGTCCACAGGATACATGTTTCAGTTTTCTTTTACATCGTCCCTGCTAGTTCTTCAAATCTTCTACCGATGTAGTGTGCCTTTTCTTCGACTAGCACGCGTCTGAGCATCGAAAGACGAGGCTATTTTATTTGTCCGTACGCCCAAAAGAAAGGTCTCCAAACTATGATACAAGTCATGTTTTTATATAAATGGGTATAAATTAAGCTTTACTCAAAACAGGTTGTCTGTTCTCAGCAGAATGATTTGTATTGTGACAAATAAAAAATCATACCAAAGTATCTACACAAGTTTATGTTTAAAAAAAATGTTGTTTATATTCGTAAATATCCGTAAAGGGGAGATGCATCATCTTCCAAAAGAATTTCTCCTCTTAGCTTGCGATAAATACTCGTGTCGATTAAAAAAGGACTCTCTTTCTCTTGGTGGATGATCGAGAGGGTATGCAAACAGCTAGTGTGGTAGTACTTCTATCTTCTCATCACGATTCCATATTAATTCCGCTAGTTACATGACTACACGCCCTTTTAACGTGACACAATTTTAAGGTAGATATGCAACATGAATGTAAAACAGAACAGAACATATTATATTTTTAGACATTCACATAGAACGAGAAATATTTATTTTTAAAACCCGCTTCTAAATTACAGCTGCCGGATAAAAGTCTAACAAGTTATAAAGATACAGCCTCGACTGCTGCTACCATCTCCTTCCTCAGGTGGGTGCCATATTCATTGGGCGTTTCGGCGCTTCCAACTACGACCTCCTATGCTGCGCCGACTAGATTGATATCAAGCTCTAGACAGGAGATGGTAGGTTTCAGCTATCCCTGCTTCATCTGTCATGAAGCGGGTACTGCCTAACTATTGGTCATTCGACCCTCCATCCATTGCTCTTCTTTATTGCGCCAGATCCACAATGAGGCTGACTCTTCTTCATGTGCTATGTTAGATATGGTTTTGTTGCGCGCTTGTCCTGTCACATCAAGGCAACTATAAATGCTCGCGCCTACATCCAACTTCCACTGGAAAGCACGAAGACCTCCAACCTCTTTCTTTATAGGTATTCACAAGAGGCTGGTATTTTTCCAGTTTCCTATCATAACTCTCTTCGAATCTTTCTTCCCATGGCACTGTGAGTGCAAGTGGAGCAACTTGTTTGCTCGCTGAAGACCATAAAACAATATCTGGTCTTAGTTTGGACACAGTTTTTTGTTCAGGAAACTTGAACGGTTTCTTCTTTAGGTCAACCTCCAAACATTTTACCTTTACTCAAAATATGGTTCATTCGTATGTATCATCTCAAACGCAAAAGAAAACTTGCATAGGAATTTCCATTATTGGAATTATAGGATGTTTTGTACCATAATTATATTTTCAGTTACCTACGGAATGGTACTTTACATTTCAAAAAGCGGGTTATATAGTCATAGTTACACGGCGAGGTATACATTACTGTCGATAGACACAAACAGCGGTAATGATTACTTTGTGATCTTTTCGGCAGTGTCGGGTGGGGATGCCAGGGTGTCGAATTCCCCGTTACTGTACAAATCAAATAATCTCGTTGTATAACAGGAGGAGAGCGGATAGTTCCATTAGATATCACGTGTCCATATATTATATAGATGACGTGGATTTGTGTAATCAAAGTCCGTGCTATAGATGCAAACCACCATCTGAAAACAAGTTACAGGGGCTACGTACAGTTATCATGACTCTGTTGGTAAGTGAATAACCTAAATGGTACCAACCATGCTGAATTTTCAGTAAGGTATATCATAAATTTTAGTCAAATTTCCATGCATATACTTTTCTTTTGCGTTATAGTCAATTAATACAACATCAGCCTTAATTAACATTTAAATGAATGGGACGGGACATACATGTATATATATAGCGTTACTTTTTTTGTATAGCATTGTTTGTAACATTAACTTACTATGCTTTTTAAGATAAGCAAAGTTTCCAAATATCGATATATCTCAAATCAAATCAAATCAAATCAAAATTTATTTATTGTCGGTATACTGTACGTATATACAATGTATATAACATTTTACAAAACATAAGCTATGTACAGTATAGCTTTTGACCGACATAAAACCCTTTTACTTTATTTTACTTTATCCAGCGTAGGGTCGCGAGATTAGAAATCTCTTGTTACCCCCTCAAGGTCTGACACCAAATAATTATTTTCCGGTATGACAGTATATAATTTGTTTCTCATAACTTTATCAAGTCTGATCAACCATTTAGATTTTATTTTAAATTGCAAAATTTTTAAAGTAGATCTGTTTCATACAAAATTTGTAAGTTGATTTAAAATCGATCTAGTAATTATACAGCTGCTGATGCTGATGATGACGGCAAGGCTGTAATTGAAGCCGTGATGATGATGATTATGATGATGATGATATTAAGCTAGGTGACTACAACGACGGTAAAGATTATTCGACATTGATTCAGAAATGGCGGCGACTTTTTATTTATTCAGAAAATATTGACCGTGAAAGGGTAAAAAGCGCATCTACTAGCCCATGACAGGTTAAAAAACTACATTGATTTTGTAAAGCAATTATTTGCAACAATCTTTCCATATTTGATATCATTTTTCTTAAGAATGTCGTGAATATTTACCTTAAGTTGAGGATTGTCACATATTTTCGCTACTTTGCTAAAACGTTTATTTTGTTGCAATCTGCTGGATAAGACCCCTATGTATTTTTCAGGAGTAAAACTTGTATACTGTATAATAAAATAAAATTAAAAAAATGATTGAACCAGTTACCTTATATATACTCTTGGTTTAGACCTCGGGATATATAATTTCCAGGATATTGCCGATTCTGTTTTGTTCAAATTATTCTGAATTGAGCATGAATGATACATGTTCAAATTGAGAAAATACTGGTGAGCTAATGCTATTTATCTCAATATCTTACGTGCATTAAGGATATATGTATTCTGTACACATCAAGATTATTAGAAAGTGAGCTGATCAAACTCAATTTATTGTGTTCAACACAATTTAGATTTTTACATATATAGATCAACATGTATTCAGAATTTTATGTTCCAGATACTCTTAACTCAAAAAACAAGTCATGGAATCTCCAGAATATATGGATTCGCCAGAGTGTGATGTAAATCCATCACCACCTCCAGAGTTTGCGGACAATCCAGAGCTTTTGCAAGCTGAGAGTATTGGAAATACAGCATTTAGCAAACATTGGCTGTTCTCAACCTTGATCAAATTTATTGAGGTTTGTTACTAAGGCCTCATTTTTAACTTTATGTTTTGAAGAAGGAAGTGGCTAGCCGTACGGGCCAAAAGCAAGGACACACTGTATTGGTTAGGCCATCCTTAAAAAAATGTTTGTTTGCAGTAACCCGACCAAGAATTTTCAAGGTGGGTAGGTAGGTCGATTTTTTTTTTTTTTTTTTTTTAATGAACTGTACTCCCAAAAAAACATGGAATTTCAAAATGCTGGACAATATATGCTTTGATAATCTGGTAACAATTAATAAATTGATAACTGAATTCTAATTTAAGAAGACAGGGAATTCCCCAGGATTTTTTTTAAGCGCTACATTTTTTTAATTAGACGGGGGTGGGTCTTGACCCCCGTACCGCGTGTCGAAAATTTTTGCCATTTTAGGTGTCAAGATACTGCTGTGGGCTGTTTTAAAACAAATAATGAAAGCTTTTCACTTGATAAGCATTTTCTTTTTTATTATTCACTTTTTCCAACAATTCAAATAAATAAACAATTATATATAAACACAAGTTCACAACATGTGATCAACATTTATAAGTGTGTGTGTCCCATTTAAATGAGTATATTTCAGTTGTTTTTTCTTCATTAACATCATTAAAAGTGGGCCTGTCTTCTAGGTTTGTTGTCCTTCCATGCCTTGACTGCCTTCTCAAAGTTGAAAGATTCTAATGGGGGTCCTTGAAGGGAGACGGCAAGAAGATAGTTTAGAACTTTAACAGAGAGACAATTCCTGTTTTCAGTCTTAACTCTCTTCAGGCAGCTCAATCCTCGCTCACAATCTGAAATTAATAAATGAAAGTAATTATTTATGTTAACCTCATGTCTTTTATTTATATTGTTTGTTTGCTGTGAATTTTTGAAAATTTAAAACTAAACTAAGTAAAAAAATTTATATTTGAAATGTTGAAAAACTTCTAGCAAAGTGTTACACATCTGCAACTTTCATTGGAATTTCATTAATGTTCAAGAATGAATGAATCTAATAATAATTACCTGCAGTAGAGGTTGGGAGGAGCAATTCTGTAAAGAGCTGGATGACTGGTAGAAAGGTTGCCAGTAATCCAGGTCATGGTCTGGTCGGCTGACTGATCAGTCCCCTCTAGACTGGCACGTACCTGGTGCCAGTGGCTGCGGCACTGCTCCATATCTATACCAAAGTGCCTGGCCAGCTCCTGTATGTCCTGACAAACCAATGCTAAGGGGTAGGACAGTAGATTGCACTTCACAAAGCTGTCTATGAACAGGCTCCATTAAAGAGGGCCTGCAAAATTAATATTTTTTTTCATTTTGGTGATTCAGTTAACAGAAACAGATTACAAGATATTTTTAATTAAAAAAGAAAATGACCAATTGGCTGTCACTATGTGGGATTGTTGATGTAAAGATTTTGTTGTTGTTTTCACTCAGTTGCAAGTTGATAATGAACAGTCGTAAATGTTTTCAATGTTAAAGTAACCATCAACCAATTTTATTTCTGAATATCTATGCAGTTTAATCCAAGTAAAATACGATTATCATGTATATATTAAAAAGCAAAATGATCCGGAGACAGTTTTAACGACATTGCTCACAAAAAAAAAACTCTTAAAATTGATAGTGAACTAGGCTTCCCTTATTTATGTTAGACATATTATTTTTTGAAATCTTAATACAACAGTACCGCTTAGACGTAACGATCGTAAGAAAGTGAAAGATAAAATTGAACATTACACTTATATAAAGACAATTAACCCAATCATCCCTAAATATCAAACTGTTATATCGCATGTCAATTAATGCCAATTATATTATCAAAACAATAAAAGTTATTACACCTACCTGAAACATGTAAATATCACACATGCCGCGGTTAAATTGCACCCATTTCAATACACGGTAATTGACAACACCTGAAAGTGCACCAACAGTCGTCTGCAGACATCGATGACAGGTGTCTGTGACGTCACACAGTCTAAAGGCAATCAGTGTATCGGGTTGTGTATACGCCTCGGGTAATTATCTACACAGGACATGTATATTGGCTTGTTTATTTGACTAATTGGGGTTAACTTATAGACACAATAGAAAGGAATATCGGTCATTTTTTAAAGCGCTATGATAATTTTAAGCGCATCGGGATTTCTTGTTCTGAAATTTTAGCGCATCGGTGCCGATGCGCTAAAAGCGCCTGGGGAATTCCCTGGAAGAACTACATTTTATTTCTTCTATTAACCTTTAAAAGAACGAAAACAAAGCACAAGGCATAATTTTCTGATTCAAAAAAAATTATTTTTTATCAAGACCATGAAAAAAAATTTGAGTAGGGACAAATTTTGTGAGTCGGTCGCGTTACTGCAAACAAACATTTTTTAGCTCGACTTTTCTATGAAAAGGGGAGCTATCCTACTCGCCCCGGCGTCGGCGTCGGCGTTAGCGTTAGCGTTAGCGTTGGCGTCACACCTTGGTTAAGTTTTTCGTACCACCCCACTTTATTTCAGAAGTATTACAAGTATGGCTTTGAAACTTACCATACTTGTTCACCATCATAACCTCCATCTACAGACAAGAGTACATAACTCTGTCAAGGTTTTTGACAGAATTATGGCCCTTTTTTGACTTAGAAAGTGTATTGAGCTTGGTTAAGTTTTTTGTACCACCTCACTTTATTTCAAAACCATTGCAGGTATTGCTTTGAAACTGACCATACTTGTTTACCATCACGACCTTCATCAACAGACAAGAGGACATAACTCTGTCAAGGTTTTTGACAGAATTATGCCCCTTTTTGACTTAGAAAATACATTGAATATGGGTAAAATCCACTTATTGCCTTAACCCTTTGAGATATTGCTTTGAAACTTTTAATGCTATTTCACATCATTACCCCCATCTGTACGCAAGAGAAGGTAACTCTGTCAGGGATTTGTTTTAAAAATTAAGGCCTTTTATCGACTTAGAATCTTGGTTAAGTTTTTTGTACCAGTCAACTTTTTGACTGAACTGGTTGAGATATTAAATTGAAAGTTGGAATACTTGTTTACCATCATGGTCCCAAACATGGGCAGGAGAAGGTAATTCTGTTAAGGATTTTATTTGAATTATGGCCCTTTTTGACTTAGAAACTCAGTTAAAATTTTCATTCTTGTCCACTTGTTGACCTAACCATTTGAGATATTACTTTGGAAGTTGGAGTTCTTATGTGCCATCATGAGACCTATCTGTAAGCAAGAGAAGATAACTCTGTGAAAATGTTTCTTGATTTGTACTTAGAAATTCCTAGTTAAAGTCTTGTGTGCCCTTAACTGTCAAAGTTTTGTTTTATAGGCAAGCACTAAAAAAGTCGAGCGCGCTGTCCTTCTGACAGCTCTTGTTTTAAGGATGGCCTTAGCCGTACGGCACTTTTCAATATTATATGGAAGTTGAAAATGCAAATGTTATTTTATGACTTTAAGCGAGGATTTCAACCAAGAAAAAGCCATAATAATAATCCTCTTTTGTTTCATTAAGTTTAATTTTTAAATTGAAAAAAAAAAAAAAAAAATTTCCGAAAATAATCGTTGTTGGGCTGTGATAATTGTGTCAATTACTGACAGTAAAGAAGTTTGTCCATCATTAAGGAAAGTTTGCATGTTCCGTGAAACGCATTCTAAAATTCTATTGTCAGTCCCTGGGTAGGCTTTAATTAAGGCTAATTAATTGATTGTGCTTTTATGTTCGATAATTATCTACTGTATTTGAAAAAATTTTTTTTTTTGCTTTTCACCGTTTTTTTTTTCAATATTCTTTTTATTTATTTATTTATTCCACTCCGATCATTATTTATTCGATCCATATGTTCTTAATTAACAAAAAAGATTTAATAATTCATCTAAAATTCAAATTTTCATACATATAAAACAACAAATCATAAGCATGAAAATCAAGGATGTTATAACTTATAACATGCAATTTTGACACTTATCAAGATAGATTATACAACGCTTGTTAGTATTCATTTTTTGTGTCGCCTCTATGGAGTAGTGGCGACATATAGAGATCACTTCTCCGTCGTCAGTCTGTCTATCCGTCTGTTCGTCAGTCACAAAACTTGTCCGGACTACTCCTCATAAACTACTGGTGCAATTTCATCCAAACTTTACAGGAATGATCAGTACCAAGTGTAGTTGCCCATATTGTCAGCATTTTCCGGTTCAATGATTTTTGTAAGAGTTATGGCCCTTTAATAATTTTTATTTTAACGTTTGTCCGGACTACTTCTCTTATACCACTAATGCAATTTCAATGAAACTTTACAGGATTGATCTGTAGCTCAAGTCCTTGCGCATATTGCACGGGTTTTCTGGTTGAATGATTTTTGGCCGAGTTATGGCCCTTTGATAAAAAGGTGTTTTTTTCTGTGTGTTGCCAGATACGCAAAAGCTTGTCTGGACTACTCCTCATATACTACTGGTGCAATTTTATCCAAACTTTACACAAATGATCAGTACCAAGTCTAGTTGTGCACTTTCCGTCTGTCACAAAACTTGTCCCAACATGAAATTGGCCATCATGAGGCGACACATGTGATTACTGATCGCTCTTGTTTTAACATTATACTATTAGAATAATTTTTAAAGTCATTGCCCTTAAATGACGAGCGTTAGCCCAGCATGCAGTGCTCTTATATGATTTTTGGGACTGAAATTAGGCCCCACTTCCCTTTAAGGTAAATAGGGCCCAGGTTTACAGTGTGACGTCAGCCCAGACCACCACAGAGCTACATTTAAATGGAGAGGAAGCTATGACATCATACACTTAAAATCTGTATAACGCAAGTTCACATTTTTACGAGATTTCCAAGATCACGTTTGACAAGAGTAATTTACCAATATACATTTACATGTATGCCCCCATGTTATCTTAAATTTGTTATTAATCAAAACAAATTGTATAAAGAAGGAAAAAAGATTAAGATATAAATTATTCTATGTAATGAATGAAAATGTAAACAATATGTTGTTATGTGTTGTTTGTAGGAAGTTGATCGTGAAACTGAAGAGGAGAGTAATCTAGCAGTTGATGTAGATGAAGATCTTCAGAATGAGTTGTGTAAACTGTGGGACATGTCCATGAACTCTGTAAGAATTTTGATTTATTGTTTAATTGTTACTAGTCAGAGATAGAAAATTCCACTCGTCTGCAAGTAGAATTTAAAAGAACTTGATGCAGGACAAGTAGAAAAATATTACCTGCATTTTGGATTTAGAAGCTACTTGTCCTGCAGGATGAGTTACTCTTAAAATATTTTTCAATGTCTGTGCCAGTGATGTTGTGCTCTATATCTCTATCATTAAAACATTTTACATAATATATACATGCACTAGCATCACAAAACAAAGTCTCATCTATTAAATTCAAAACTACTCATGTAGTTCATTTATAAAAATTTTTTAGGTGTTCTTTAGGCGTTCTTTAAAGAAAAAACGTTTCTCAGTTACTTTATGCGGATAAAAAAAAACAGTAATGTTTATGAGGATTGCAAACTGTTAAGTTTATGGGGTATGTAAACTGGAATGTTTATAAGAAAAACAACTTGTAATGTTCAGTGTATATTGGTGATAAAGTAGATTTTAATTTTCTAAGCCTCTTATAATTTCTCTGTATACAGGATGTTGCCATGTTCTTGAATGAGTTTAAGGCTGTAGATATACTGACCGGGATTATAGAGAAGTCCAAGGCTCCAAGAGTTATCGTAAGTCTATATGTACATTATTTCTGTCAACAACTTGATTTTAATATCTAGTAATTATGCTATTTTGACTGTGATTTGAGAATTTTTCCTAGCTCAAGAGAAAAATTTCAAGGTTCCTGCATAATATATTCCCGCTACCTCAGACAGTTTATATTTAAGATTGTGTATTGATTTATTTCAGAGGAAATATTCTGAAGAAATATATTATCTAATTAATTTCATAAGAAATATTCTGTGGAATTTCTTATTTGAGTTCACATAAAATATTCTGTGGGATTCCTTATTTTATTTAATTTACATGTATTTCACATAAAATATTTCACAGGAATCTTATTTGATTTATGTCACAGAAATATTTTGAAGGAAACTAATATTTGATTTATTTCACAGGAAATATTCTGTAGGAAACTAATATTTGAATTATTTCACAGGAAATATTCTGTAGGAAACTAAAAGTTGAAATATTTCACAGGAAATATCTGTATGTAACTAATGCTTGAGTTATTTCAAAGGAAATATCTGTAACTAATTTATATTTGAATTATTTAACAGGAAATATCTGTAGGAATCTTAGGAAATATGGCGTGTGAAGCAGCAGTATGTAAAGAAATGGCAGATAATCAAAAATTTATGTAAGTACTGTTTGAAACATTCATCAAATATTTTGAAAAAAAAATATCATTTGTATAAATGAGAGAAGAAATATGACCATATATGCTTTCAGATAGAATTAAAAAGCAGCTGCTTTAAGAGGTCAAAGCTCTAGTAAAATGTAAGTTGCAGGCACCTGTTTAAGTATCAAAGAGTCACTGCTATACCAGCTAGCTTACAGAATGTCGGTAGTTCTACTCAGGTGCATGAAATAATGCGTGGATGAGCACCTTAGGTTATCCTCCACCAGTAAAGCTGGAATGTCACCTTATGATGACCAGTACAGAATTGATGCGATTAATCCCCACCTCCCACCCCTGCACAGATGTGCAGATTGGCCTGGCTGTATACTGGTGGCAAATGCTAATCACTTTTAGATTCAGAAGGTTTATGGTTAACTTTATTATCCCCCGCCGATAGATTGGGGGATATTGTTTTGGCGTTGTCCATCCATCCGTCCGTCTGAATTTCGGTTCCGGACTAGTTCTCTGCAACTACTGGCTGGAATTCAACGAAACTTTATGGGAATCTTCAATACCAAGAGGAGATGGGCATATCGTCGGCTTGTTCAAGTCCGACACTTCAATGCGGAGTTATTGCCCTTGATTAGTTATGCAGTATGCATATAGAGTAAAAATCGTTTCCGCACTACTTCTCTGCAACTACTGGCTGGAATGCAACGAAACTTCATGGGAACCTTCAATATCAAGAGGAGATGCGCATATTGTCGCCTTGTTCCGGTCAGACACTTTAACTCAGGGTTATGGCCCTTGATTAGTTATGCAGTATGCATATAGAGTAAAAATCATTTCCTCACTACTTCTCTGCAACTACTGGCTGGAATTCAAGGAAACTATGGGAACTTTCAATACCAAGAGGAGATGCGCATATAATCGCCTTGTTCTGGTCAGACACTTTAACTCAGAGTTATGGCCCTTGATTAGTTATTCAGTATGCATATAGAGCAAAAATCATTTTTGCGCTACTTCTCTGCAACTACTGGCTGGAATTCAACAAAACTTTATGGGAACCTTCAATACCAAAAGAAGATGCGCATATCATTGCCTTGTTCGGGTTAGACATTTTAACTCAGAGTTATGGCCCTTGATAAGTTATGCAATATAAAACCAGAGCAATAATTGTTTCCGTGCTACTTCTCTGTAACTTCTGGCTGGAATTCAAAGAAACTTTATTGGATACGAAGAGGAGATGTGCATATAGTCCCCTTGTTCCTGTCAGATACTATAACTCAGATTTATGGCCCTTGATTAGTTATGCAGTATGCATGGATATAAATTCAACGAATTTGCTGGTTATTTCTATTTCAGAGATTTAGTTATACTTATGATGGAGACGAGAGATGTTCCAACTTTGGTAGAGAATACAAGGTAAAAATATTATAGGGTCTTCATTATAATTTTTGTTAGCTTGATTTTTTGGAATAAAAGAGAGCTATTGCTAGCTTCAGTACAGTCATGTTATTGTTGTTGCTGATGCCATCTGAAAACTTTGGCATTGCTTATAACTTTTTTTATTTCTCACTGGATTGCCTTCTTAGTTGGACACAACAATTGTTTGGACAAGATCTTCAAGTTGATTAGACTGAACTTGAACTTCACTCATAAATGATCTTGATTTTTAAGGTCAAATATTTGAATTTTGCTTAATTTTATCTATAATTGGCTATACATGTATTTTGGTATTTTATGAATGGATTGTCTTGGACATGATAATCCCACAGACCAGACCTTAATGTAGGCCAAATGAATTGTGACCTTCACTCATCAGTGACCTTGACCATGAAGGTCAAATTATTGAATATTGCTTGATGTTTACTTAGTATAATCTGTTATAACTTTGTTATTTTTAAATGGAATGTTTTCATAGTTGAGCACATCTACTGTAAGGACAATGTCTTAAAATAGATCACACCCAATTGACCTTGACTCTTAAATGACCTTGACCTTAATCCTAGTGATAAAAGTACAAAAATATTTTGATAACTCTACTTACAATTACTTTTTTATGATTTATTGTAGATTAATCTATACGTCACTGTCTAACACTGTAACACGAGGACCTTGGATAAGAGCGATACAGAGGTCAGAAGATATTCTAGATCATCTTAAGTTTATATTCTCGAGCTCTACAAACTGTAAGTTGATAAAATCTATTTATTATTATTATGAAATAATTAGTTTCATGCTTCCTAAAATAATACTATAGAAAATATAGAATATATACTAAAGTTGACAGTAAATGCTATCACACTAGCAAAGCCCTTTATGGTGCTTTTCAAAGAATGGCACAAATGTGTCACATTGAAGTTTCAATGATTACTTCCATATTAACACATCTACGAATGATTTTGAATTAAAAATTTCACCATTTTCATGTTTTCATACTGAATTCTGTTAAAACCAGTGTTAGGGTTTGTGGTCTGTTCCTTGCAATAACCACTACCTGCCATGTCCACGCTCAATCAAACTGATGCAACATTTCAATTTTACCAGTTTGAACATTCTTTAGGACTACTGTTTTTATCTATTTTATAAGAACAGTACAGGGATGTTATGTTCTAGATCTAGTTTTTGAGTTTTGCAGTTGGTTTGAGTTTTGTTTCTTGCAAATTTACTATGATTTGTTGCACATTGCAGCACACATATTGTCGCATGTCACCTATACTTGTGAAAAGTTTCAGTTGAAAATTTTTGTTTAGTGTCTAAGTTATTTTGTTTGTTTACACAGGTGACCTGTTGAAGAATACTGCAGAACTAGTTGATACATTGCTTGACTGTGAACCTGACCTTTGTGTTTCCTGGGCAACCATTGACTTTGTACATTCATTGATTGAAGCCACAGAACAGATAGGGTGAGTTACATCGAATTAGGAATTTAAAAAAAAACTGATTGATCTTGAACTTTGATGAAAATTCTTAACTTTTTCTTGTATTTGGAGAAGTATTGAAGCAAAACATTAGAAATACTGCTGTTTAAATGATAAACTATTTTGGTCTCCTATCTTCATTCTCCACACACAATCAGTGTCCTTTTGGAAACCACAAGAGATGTTTAATTTTCTCATCTGTAAAATGAAGGAAAATCATGCTAGGTGTCTCAACTGCTAAGATAATGTTGACAAAAAAATGTGTAAAAATTGGTGTAAAAAAACAGACAAACAGACTCAGCAATGTTATGACAGGTTTGTGGTTCTACTACAGTTCCCACTTGTTACTAACATACTGAAGAGAGGATGCCTCCAGCCTTCTAAGGATTAATATGCGACACCAAAAATGTGACTATAACAGAAAATGCAAAACACATATTACTGTGCAGTATCTGAAAGCAAAATTTTTCATTTTTCAGATATGGTTAATGTTTGTTTGGTTTAATTTTGTTGATAAATTTTGTTTATTATACAGGAGTAATCATAGTGATGCCCTGGAGGTTTATCTACATATTCTCCAGAGTTTTTCCACCACAGAGTCAGGGGTTGAAGCACTAGGTTTGTAAAATCTAAGCTAATGATGGGCTTCATGTTGATTCATACCAGATTGTGCCCCTCACCGCTGTGGGTTTGAATCCCCGACAGGGACATTGAATTCTTTCATGTGAGGAAGCTATCCAGGTAGCTTACGGAACGTCAGTGGTTTTACTCAGGTGCCTGAAATAATGCACGGAAGGGCACCTGAGGTCTTCCTCCACCAGTAAAGCTGGAACGTCGCTATATGACCTATACTGTGTGGATGTGACATATAACCCAAAACAAACAAACAAAAAACATACCAGATTGTCCCATTATGCATCCCCTTGATAGAGTAAAATTTATTGAATTCAATCATTGTAATAGTTGTAGTACTTGCATTACAATACATTTATTGATAAAATGTGTTTATACATGTACTTAAAGGACATGGGGAATGCTTTTATGTTTAAAGACAGGGCCTCTGTGGCCAAAAGTTGAATTGTTGATTCAAATCATTTCCCCAAAAGTTTAAATGGTAACAATAATTTTGAAAAGAAAGAATATCTTCATGTGTGAAAGATATCAAACAAGTATATAGGAGATTGTTGGTTCAACTTGGGTGGTGATTTGTACCTATCATTAGAAGGGCTTAATGCAGTCTTGTGTTATTCTTTCATCAGTAAAGATAAAAAATTGCACTTTTTCCCCGGACCGGTTCAGTGTAAAAGGAATAATACCATGAACTCATTTTATTTCATCGGCACGAAATTTTGTGAACATTTTCCTGGGTCTTAAATTTGTTGACTGTCTATTTTTCAAATTTCTTG